AGCAGATGGGTTATAACAAACGTTTAAATGTCACTTCCTAAAGATATAAAACTGTCTGTCAAACCACACCAAAATAAAGGTATTGTCTTACACTACATCAATTGTGTGTATTAGTGTGTATGTTCCATGCATGTGTACACATCCACGCTGACGTGCGCTTGTGGAGGTCACAGGAGGCTTTTTCGCCTCTATGCTTCACTTCTTCTCGAATCTCAGCTACTTTGAGAGAAAATCTAGTGCTCCTCGTCACTCTGACGTCTCTCCTCCCTTCATCTTCACACACATTGCCTCCCGTAACCACGTCTTCCCGCAGTTCCAGCTTGTTTGGTTTCAAGTTTTGATCATTCCTCTGAAATTCAGACTTAAATATTTTGCCGTTCATGTACATTCCTCCTTGGATGTCTCCCAAGTATACCAGACTATGGATATATTGTGAAAATGATGGAAATGTCTAACATTTTTGACTCACAATTTCAATCAAGATTCTGATATTGAATGAGACAGTGGATATGGTGTTGTATTTCAGTTCTTCATAAACTATAGTGTTCAAATCCTAATTTTTATCCGTGTCTGTATCCATCCAGCCACCTCACAGATCTTCCCATGCCATCTCTCACTTTGCAGAGTTGACTTGCACGCCAGCAGCCAGAGAGTCCTTAGAAAATCCCGGGCGAATCCCACCGTTCTGTTCTGACCTGCCCACTACTCTCACATAGTGTCTGTTGTTGTTTTACGTAAAATGCAGAAGGTTCATTTGTCTTCCCCCATCCTTTACCATTTCATTTTGTCTCTTTTTACTTTATATTTTACTTCATCACCCTGACCTCATCGCTCCTTCAATTTATTTAATCCCTTTTCCTTAGACTATCATCTTTAACACACTGCCTTTCATTCAAGAGAATGCCAAGATCAACCTTAAATAGCTCTGGTTTTATCTGTGCCATTGCCATCACCTCCATACCATCCTTAGAACTCTTCTTCACTGCCCCCACCTCTCCATTCTGTCTGCTTTCCAAAGAACTTACATCTTGTAAACACAGTTAACTCATTTTCCTGTTTTGTTTTATCCTCATAAACACACACACACACACACACACACACACACAATTGAAGCGAACAATGTGCGGTAAACCACAATTTTAGTTGTTTGTAATTTTGTTTTCATTTCCCCCTAATGCCTAGACAAAATTAAGGCACGATGACTATCATAGTTAACTTTGTCAGCTTGACATGTAGTCTTGCGGGAAGAGAAAACCTCTACTGTAGAATTGTTTCCATCAGACTGACCTGTGAGCACGTCTTTAGAGGCATTTTCTTGATGGTTACTTGATGCAGTAGGGTCCAGCATACTGTGGTCAGAACCATCCCTAAGCCATTGGGCCAGACATTTTAAATAGTGGTAGAAAAGTGTGAGCATGGTTGCTAGCTTGTAAACATATTCTTTGATGAATTCTGCTTCAGTTCTTGAATGTTTTCCATACCCTAATACTAGGTTTCCCCAATGATGCAGTAAGTAAAATGAGGCTGAATAAAAAATCCAGGTTTAATGATCAAGCACCCCTGGGTGATTCTCGGGGGAAGAAAGAAGAAGAGACCATGCTGTGGGTCCAGGGGTTGGCTCTTAAACACCCTGTATGCATGGTCTTGAACAACCACAGGGGAGGAGCCATCACTGGACAGGTTTTCTGAGGGTGGGGTTTGGAATAGGTCCTGAGATGGAGATTCCCAACAATTCTTGTCTCTAGGATTTGAGTTTCTTCCATGGCTTCCCTCAATAATGTACTGCAAACTATAAGCCAAATAAACCCTTTCCTTCCCAAGTTGGTTTTGGTCAGTGTTCTGTTACAACAACAACAACAAAACTTGGGCAGAGATAAAAATGCTTTGGAAGTATATGTTTGCATTATTATTTATTTACTGTCTATGAAAGACAGACTTCTGTAAGCCTAGGCACTTTTTATTTTTCTTACTTTATGATTTGCCTTGATTTTTAAGACACTATCCCTCTAACCAGGCCTGGAGGCACATGCCTTTAATCGCAGCACTTGGGAAGCAGAGGAACACAGACCTCTGAGTTCAAGGATAGTTTTGTGTACAGAGTGAGATTCAGAACAGACAAAGCTATATAGAAAATCACTGTATTGATAAACAAACCAAAAGGAAGAAAGAAGAGAGAGAAAACAAAATAATAACAAACAGACTCGATCTAGACATCAGGTTCCAAGTTTATATACATGAAATTCTATAAAGCATTTGCAATAGCCATAAATCCTTAACTCTTAAACTTATGATTTCCAGAAGATTAATTTGTTAAGTTCCCACTATGTTTTGCTCCGTCATCCTGGCCTCTTCTCTGAACAGAAAGATACAAGGCCTGTGTATGATTAATCTTTGTTGGATGCTTCCTGTGGTTCTAACATTCTCTCCACAAGAGCCAGCGTGACCCAGCTCCTTCACTGACCAATGCTTCGGAGATGGTCTGCTCCAATTCTCCAAATGGCTGTTCATGCTCCTCCATACTTCTTTATGGTTACGATACAAGAAGTGACTAATGTGGACTTAGTCATAGGCTACACAAATAGATAAAACCTTTCCGTGGGTACTGTGCTCTTATCCTTCTCCTTATGACAATTGTTTGCAGCTTGACCTCTCAAACTGAAGGAGAATATCTGTCACCTGAAGGTAACAGAGTTGGGACAGGCCCTCAAACCGTCTGTTATGGATTTTATGGAATAAACAAGATTAACAATGTTTGACCCACTGTAATATTTTGAGCCTTTCTTAAAAAGTTGTATGTTTATTCACAAGTATTTAAATTATTTTATCATAAATCTGATTTTATCTTTATATATAAGAAAATTACTTTGGAATTCAACCCATATTTTTCCTAAATGAACGCTAAATATTATGTGACTGCCTGAAACTGAATCTAAGTCTTACACCAAAACATGTGATCAAATTTATAAGTACCATATACTATTATTGAGCGAAAAAAATGCAAGTCTAATTTGAAAAGAATTTAATCTGTATTCACTTGAACTCTATTAGAATACACTATTGACCATTTACCCAGCGCATGCCCTCCTATTAAGAAATGCTTAAATTTTATCTTTCAATCTGTGTGCATGTGTGTGTATTGGAACAATCTGTCTGTCTTACTGCATATATATATATATATATATATATATATATATATATAGAGAGAGAGAGAGAGAGAGAGAGAGAGAGAGTATGATTCTGGAGAACAAACACATGGCCTTGTAGACATTAGGTTCCTGTGCTGGCTGGTTTTATGTCAACCTGACACAGTTTTCTGAGAGGAGGGAATCTCCACTGGAAAAAAAAAATGCTTCATAAGATTGGGTTATATGCAAACATGTAAGGCATCTACTTAATTAGTGGTTGATCAGGGAATGACCAGTCCATTATGGGTAGGTTCATCTATGGGCTGGTAGTTTGAGGTTCTATAAGAAAACTGACTGAGCAAGCCCTGAGGAACAAGCCAGTAAGCAGCATTTCTTCAAGGACTGTGCTTCAGCTCCTGCCTCCAGGTTCCTTTCTCTGTTTGTCTTCTTGTTCTAACCTCCTTCAATGAGAGACTATATTGTAGAAGTATAAACCAAATAAACCTTTTTCTTCCCAAGTTGCCTTTAGGTCATGGTGTTTTGTTGCAGCAACAGAAACCCTAAACCAGTTCCTCTTCTACCCCTAAACTGTATGCTGTTGGCGCCCAAATACCTTGGTACTTTTATTTCTTTTGTAGTATTGTCATTTATTAAGTCTAAAAATTCTGATTAGACACATATATTATCAGATCTTTTCAGGAAAAAAAATGGGTTTTACATCTTTGAATATGTAGCATAAAGCCTCTGGCCAACTAATAATGTATCCAAGTAAATCAATGCCAAGTCATGTGATGATGGTGACGTAGGTACTGTTGATGAACTGAGTAAGCATGGCAGGGTATTGTGTTACTTCTCAGACACTATCTAATATATGAGAAAGAAAAAAAATTAAAATTTACCAGCATTTGGACATTGAAGGCTGTGTGCTTATATCTGTTAGTAATAAATTTATTGATAGTTATACTTGGAGAAAGAAGGAAATGAAATGTGAGAAAAGGAAAGACGCAGGAACTAAGATAACACTGGGTGCAAGATGCACCAGGGTTTTGTATAATGCTAAGGGACAAAAGTACAGTGAGAATGACCCAGAACGACTGTTATTTTAACTGCAGTCACTAGCCATCATTTCTAGGAAACATTCCGAATTCATGCATGTGAAAATATTTTCAGGTAGAACCATAAATTAGGAGTAAATATAGCAAGGAAAATCAATATCCCCTGAATTCATTAGCACCTTAGGAGAGATTGGCAAACCCAATATTAAAAATATTAAAAGCAAAATAGTAAATTTTGTACATGCAAACAACTCCAGAAGCCATATCAAAAGAAGCATGATGGAAGTTTTACTATCGAGAAGAGGAAGCAGCCCTGTTGTCTGTCAGTTTTAAAAGCAGTAATCAGTTCTGCAATACAGATATCTCTTACATAAAGACATGGTGCATCATATCAGGATAGAGAGTTAAGAAGAATGACATTTAATTTCAGTATTAAATGACTATCAAGTTTTGCCCCATTTGGAGTGATGATAAAGCTGAAATTCTAGTCATTTAGCTGTTGTTTTGATGCAGCATGGCCTCTCAAGCTCACGGGCTGGAACATTTGTGCACCATATTTGATGTGATAAGGCCCGCAGTCATAAACACAAACAGAATTCTTAACTCTTTTCAGAACAGACTGTGTGCACCTACAACGGAGTCAAGCCTACCAAAGCAATGTGCTCGAGCTGAACAACTAAAGTTGGAAGAAATGTTTGCTGTAGCTTTGCTCCTGAGTAGCGTGGCTCAGGGTGCTGATGCTAAATGACGTATACTCTGTAAGCTCTTCGGTTCATGGTCTGACCATTCATCCTTGATTTCCAAACATTTTCCTTTGCAGATCAGCAGTCCTGTGATCCTGGTGAATTTCTCTGCCATGACCACGTGACTTGTGTCTCTCAGAGCTGGCTGTGCGACGGGGACCCTGACTGCCCTGACGAGTCCGATGAGTCTTTAGCCACCTGTGAGTAGAAAGGCTCTTTGCTTTTGCATTTGCTTCCATGTGAAACCAAATGGCAGTTGCTTCCACAGATCACTGCTGTTCTAGCTGGTTCTATTTATATGTCCTTTAAAGCATAACCTGACAGAACTGAAATCTTTTGTTTCTATTTTCTTCGGAATTGAGTGTGTGAATGGGAGACGAAGTCCAGTTGTAGAGTTTGAAGTAACTTACTGTAACTGTGCTGATACTGGGCAACTTACTTGCTTAGCAACACAGAACCTTGCTCCTGCTTGTCACCTGTACCTTGAGATGCAGGAAAGTATAGAAGATGCATCATTAAGGAAATTCACCTCTAGCTTTCACATCACTAATACTAATTTTTATAACTCTGCAGATTACTGAACCTAATTTCTTTAGAACCTAATCTTATCTGTGATTAGATAATCTTATCAGTGAGGGTCTTGACTTTTATAAGAGGAGACTGGGACACCCTTGATGTCTGGGGGTTCTAAGCCCAGTTGAAACATTGTTACATGAAATCCTCTGAGGATTTTACTACACTGGACATGTCAGCATACGAAAACTGTGACTAATAATATGATCACTGCTGAATGACACATAGTTTTATGAATGTTCATCTGTTCTTCAGTGTGTGAACCAGACACTACTTTTGATATCAATATTTTTAGAACTTACACCTGCAGTCTGTGGTCCTTGTGTGTCCAGATTTGCCGGTATATCAATATTATCCCCGAGACAATCACACAGTTCCTTCTGTAAAGGCAAAATGAAGGAAAAAAAAAACATATTACAGTGGATTGATAATGTGGCGATAAGACCATAAAAGGCAAACCAATGGTTTTAACTATGCACTTACTCATGGTGCAAATAGAACTAATGAATGAGTTATTAAAATCTTGCCAGTAAAAACGAAATAAGTGTTCTTTAATAATCATTGTGTTTGCAAGTCCTATTAAAGTTTTTCAGCATAAGCCGGGCGATGGTGGCACACGCCTTTACTCCCAGTACTCGGGAGGCAGAGGCAGGCGGATCTCTGTGAGTTCGAGACCAGCCTGGTCTACAGAGCTAGTTCCAGGACAGGCTCCAAAGCCGCAGAGAAACCCTGTCTCGAAAAACCAAAAAAAAAAAAAAAAAGTTTTTCATGCATAGATGAAAGTGATTGTGTATATGCGAGTTGCTTGTCTTTTGCTCGTCTTTACTTTAAACCCATCTCCACAGGGAGAGGTTGTAGGTATTTAATAAATTTCTCATTTTTACCAATTTTACATATAATTATAAAATTTTTCATTGAGGTCCTGGGTGCGATAGATTTAAGATAAGAAAATAAGAATGCTATAATGAATTAAAAGTTCTGCTAATCCTTACAAATGTATTATTTGTGAGTAGAAATGAATAAACTGCTTACCTATGATACAACACATATGAACCTTAAAATATTATATAAATGGGAAGACAGTAGCCATAAAGGAACATTCATATTATAACACCATTCATTGAAGGGCCCCATATAGACATTTCAAATTTGGATTTCTTAATCTAGACTTTTACAGTTAACACAGTGCTTCTCAATGTGCTTTGTGAAGTTCCTATAAGTTTTCACTAATCTCCATAACATAATTTTACAATACTATAACTCCAAAAATGTGAGCATTCAGTGTGAAAGTGTAGGGATAAGTCCCGCCCCTTAGGGGGCGTGTTCGCCTTGGGCTAATGTTGGCCTATAAATTTGGCAAGCATGCTCCCAGCCGTCCCATTCTGCTTTCCTGGTCTCCACGGGAACGGTCGTTCTGTAAGTCTATTTCTCCATTAAAACTATATATATTTTTACAATCTGTCTGCATTTGTTTACGCCTTTACATTTTTGGCATCCAACGTGGACTATTTTGCCCCCGACTCAAGCGGGTAGCCCGGCTAGCTCAGTCGGTAGAGCATGAGACTCTTAATCTCAGGGTCGTGGGTTCATGCCCCACGTTGGGCGCCATTCTGTAGTAATTGGGGCGGTGGGGCTGCGTCCCCAGCACCCCGGCTGCCTGGCTAGCTTATGCCCGAAATAACAACACACAAACTGTATTCTTTTAATCACTGCTTGGCCCTCATTGGTTAGAAGATAGGTGGGAGGAGTAAACAGAACAGAACGCTGGGAGGAAGAGGAAGTGAGCTCAGACTTGACAGCTCTCTTCTCCGGAGCAGACACCTCAGACAGAGATGCCATGCTCCCGGCTCCTGGGCAGACACGAGATGAAGCTCCTACCCAGGATGAATGTAGGCTAGAATCTTCCCGGTAAGCGCACCTAGGGGCGCTAATCAGATGATTAGAAATGGGCTAAATTAATATGTGAGAATTAGCCTAGAAGAGGCTAGATAGAAATGGGCCAAGCAGTGATTAAAAGAATACAGTTTGTGTGTTGTTATTTCGGGCATAAGCTAGCCAGGCAGCCAGGGTGCTGGGGACGCAGCCCCGCCGCCCCAATTACTACATGAAAGATCAACACACTCAGGATACAAAGCTGTGAAGATTGATTCCTTATGCATAGAGAGACATGCTATTGTCTGTGATTAGATAACAAAGCACATTGTTTCATAAAATTTAAATTAAACTATATGATGCAATGTGTTTTCCCCTAAATCTACTTAGCCTTTACAAGGAAAAGAATGAGTGAGGATTTATGGTGAAATATGGAATCTCTGAAGTGAAAAATTCCAACAGGAATCAGATACTGCTGAATAAAAGTAAGATATTAGCCTGATAACTGAAATGCTTTAAAAACAAATGCACAGAGGAAAAAAAAAGTTAAATAAAACCAAGATATAAAGAGAGTTTAAATGAACCCATGATTTGATTTATTCCTCTCTTTGGTTTCTTTGAGAATATTTTCTCATATCCATTTGGATGGAGTTAAATATTACTACCAGCTACTAACTTAAAAAGCTTACCTGAGTTCAACTTGCCACATGGTGGATTTCATTTTGGGAAGACTTGACTAATATTTGGGAATTTTAAATATTTTTTTAATATTTCTGTCAGATACAAGAACAAATTCTTCACTGTGGAGATGAAGTTCTTCTTGTGTGTAATTTGAAATGTGTCTTCAAGTATCTAAACAATGATTAGAAGCACCTTTAGTTCCTATGAGGTGAGGAGAATGGGAAATCAGGAGACGTCTCCAGCTTTGTACTCACGGCTTTCAACTCACTGTTGTCAATTGTAGCATGCAGCTAGGATGAACGGAAACATGGGAAAGGTTTCTTTGTGAAATGCAAGCTTGGCACCATCTGTGGAGAGGGAGTCGTCCTGAAAGGCGCATTCTTCAGAGATATTCAAATCTTAATTCCTTCGCAGAATTATTCTGCTCAATGCTTAATGAGTCTCCCTTTCCAACAATCAACTCCAGCTGGTGTGTGGTACTTTCTGGGGAGCTGAAGTTCTCATAAATCACCTCATTTCTTTTTTCGGCCAGGAAAGTATTAACTCTGCTACTTGTCCTACATTCCTACTGCTTTTATTAATGTTCAGAAAAATCCCTTGAAGAGTTCTTTGGCTATAGACCAGAGCTTGTTTATATTGCCATCTTAGTGAGCAAAGTAGCAGAGTGCAAACATGGCCTTAGTGAATGTAGATTTTGCAACCTGGATAGCTGTGACAATTGGTGCCTTGACTTTGTTTGGTTCTTGTGTAGGGTGAGTAAGGCTTTTGTGTCAAGGATTCTGATAGTCACTGCTTACATTTTAGAGGCTTCCTGGGTCTCCCCGCCGTGTATTATCCTTTCTAATGCTTGGTTGTTTCTTTGTTTAAACTATCTGCCAGCTTTCCCTGTGGGGGAAAAATATTACTTAAAAATAATCAAGAAGAAAAGAAGGATAAAAATAAGCCAAAGATCAGATTTTGTTAGCGAGTTACGTTTTGCTCTATAAATGTCAAACTATGATTTCTGGAGCATGCCGGATCCACAGCTGTGCTTGCAGGTCTGTGTATGCTGAGGTACTGTGTTGTAATGAGAGTGGTGGGGTACTGTGTTGTAGTAAGAGCAGTGGGGCTACGTCCCACCACCCGGCTAGCTTTACACCCGAAATAATTACAAGGAAACTGTATTCTTTTAAACACTACCTGGCCCATTAGTTCCAGCCTCTTATTGGCTAGCTCTTACATATTGATCTAATCCATTTCTAATATTCTGTGTAGCCCACGAGGTGGCTTACCAGGGAAGATCTTAACCTGCGTCTATCTGGAGTGGGAGAACCATGGCTACTGCCTGATTCGGCTTCTTTCTCCCAGCATTCTGTTCTGTTTACTCTGCCTATCTAAATTCTACCCTATCAGAGGGCCAAGCAGCTTCTTTATTAGTTAACCAATTAAAGCAACAGATAAGATACAGCACCCACCTCCATCAGTACTGTGGTGATGTGGGGGTGGCTCAGACACACAAAGCAAGTAAATATTGCATAGACTTGTGTATGAGCGTAAATCCAGCCTGAAGCAACATTAGCACGGTCTGCAAATTCTGCATTTCTTCTATATTCGCAAAGCTGTTTGCCAGGGCTGATCTGAGTACATGCTATAAAATTGGTGGTTTACCTAGCAGCTTACTTTTCACAAGTAAAATATATATTACAAAGATGGACAAATGGGGGCAACATTAAATTAGTCTGATCATTCCAGGATGGACTGGGTTTCGTGATTTTGTGTATTGCCATGCTTGGCTTGCCGTTGTCAGTCTTACCTTCACGGGCTGGCTGCTCCATCTTCTCTAACTGACAGTTGCATTCCAGACACAAAGAAGAGAAAAAGGAAAGAAAACAGGCAAATGCCTGTTCACTCACTCTGTGGGAAGAAGAGCTTCTTTTGGAATTAAATGTGATAGGTTTCTGCTCAGAACTTCTGAGCTTGAACTGATCATATGGGTCATGGGGCAACAAATATTCTCAGCCGAGGCTATTTTCTGGGTGGGATGTGAAGTAGAGGTAATTGCCTCAGTTCCTTTTCCTCTTGATTTGATAAAATA